CAAACAAATTTATTTAATAAAACAAAATTTACAACTCAAAAAAATTTTTTTTGCATGTAATAAAATTCCATTATTAATTCGCAATTCGTGATAAACGGAAAGGATCGACATACATTTTAATAGTAAAATGCGGGGATAATAAACATAATAAAATTACTTAGTAAAAATTTTAAAATGACTAACCATCCCAATTTAACTGTAAATCTCATTTCAATATGCTAAATAAAGCCACACTTGCACTATGGCATAGATTCAAGAGAATGGTGGGTTATGAATATACATGATATGGTAATTAGCTAATTACCGTAAATACGTAATTCGTAATTAACGTAATTACGTAATTAATTACGGGTGACGAAACTAATTACGGGTGACGAAATCAATTACGGGTGACGAAATCAATTACGGCGACAAATTAATTACTATTGTGAAAATTTCAAACCATTGTTGGCACTATACATGGGATGGTAATTGCATAATTACCGTAAGTACGTAATTAAGTATTCAAATGCAAAAGAAAGATTTAATTATTTTATTTATTTGAATATTAAAAATAAATTCATTATGATTGTAATAAAAAAAAATAAAATGGAAATAATTTCTAATTGTTGTGGTGAGGGTGATTGCTCTTATTGTTACAATGAGTCTTGTTGTTGTTGTAATGACTATTGTTGTTACTGCTGTAATGATCATTTATATTGTTGCTGCTGCTGTTCCAATGATGATATTCTGCCAAGATGCTGATTAAGTTGTTCATGGATTGGCACTTACTGACGAGTAGCAGTAGAAGCAGCAAATTGGTTGCATGAAAATCATTTGGTTTTTATTAATGCTATTCAATTTTTGTAATTACTGTTTTTTCTTTGTAATTGTATGCAAGATGAAAAAAACATCTTTCCGCCATATTCTAAGTTGCCATAACTGATAAAAATTAACAAACACAGGTTGTTAATTAAGAATTCCTGTTTTTTTTCTTTGCAGCTGTGTGTGAGATAAAAAAACATCATCTTTTCACCATCCATGAGCTGTTGCAGATCACAAAAACAATTATTTCATTGGCCATAAAATTTAATTTTGATTGGTTTGACGATTATTATAAAAAATATAGTCAAACACAACTTTAAAGATTATGGGTAGAAAAACACAATATTTGTAATAAAATTAATTATTTCACTTATGGAAAGCAATAAAAGCTATCTTTGTTTATTTGTTGTTTTATTAATATCTAATAATAATAGCTATGTAACAATTCTTTCTGATTGTATATATATGTTTTTTTTACCCTGGAGGCTTCTGAGACCTCAATTAGGTCCCATGTAATGAGGTGAGGCAATAAATAAATAAAATTTATACATTAAGTTTCAAGCCTGCATTTTTTCATGTTCAAGCTGAGTATAAACTAGGCTCATTCAGAACTTTATATTAAACAAATGTTTAATAAATTCCTCAATAAAGTGTCTCTTACATGACTTTTTTTTAATATAATGTTTGCTTTTTATAAATAAAATATAAATATCATTCATTAATAGTTTGAAAAGGCTTGGGACTTTTTGTGGGACTCAAAGCCTCAGAACCAGACTGAACTGTTTAGGACTGATTAACATCACTAATCCTAGTAATGTCCTACTGCTGATGATATTTGTAGAGATTGATTATTTAATTTATTCTAAGAATTCTAAATATTATAAAAATAGGTTTCTAGAAAATAACTTATGAATTTAAATTAATTAAAAAAGAATAGATGCAATAAATAAACTTTGATTCTCCAACAATTAGGAGGTAGGTGGTCTTGTTGTCATTGCTGTAGTATTTTCTTCTCCTGTTGATATAGTTTCAATTGTATCTGTTGAGGTATTTGTAGTAGTTACATTATTGTTAGACTCTTTTGTATTCTTCATAAATTTATCATTTAATGATTCAATATATGGTTGTGGAAAAACTATCCAATTTTCCCAAACACCAAGAATTGTTATAACTTGTCGCTATTCATTATTAATAATTATAACAATTATTACTAAAGTTTTTTAAAAGGTTTTAGAATTCACCCCCCAAAAAAATAATTACCCTGAATGTCTCAGCTTTTAATCTCGCAGTTATTGATCTGTATATTTCATTTAAATGTTCAAATATTTCTGGTAATCTGCTCTCAAACCTAATAATCATTTATGATTACTTATTGGTATATATAAAACAATTCATAATAAACAACACTAAACCAATATATATCTACCCAGTTCGAAACTTCCATGCATTAGGAATAGAAACACTACTATTGTGTAAAATGTCTGA